GGTGTTTGGCGAAAAATGTATGGCAATAGACTTTATGATGTCGCCTACCATCTTTAATAATTGTCTGAGTACATTTGCATCTTGTGAAAATGATAATATAGTTGTGGATATTAATACCACAGTGTAATAAAAAAAATGATTTATTTTATCGATCTTTACAAAATAGATTTGTTTTTATGTTATATAAACAACTTCGATCAGTCTTTGGCTGAATGTTACTACACACATAGCCATTAAAAATGATTTGTATGTTTTCCAAACCGGTAAAATTAAAAGTCCTTTTTAAAGTAAATATATTATACAAAGGTGTCCGTTGAAATATAATGACTGTAAATTAAATTATAAATTACGCCAAGAATTACCGTGTATGTCAATATTTTTTGTGCATTTGGGCCAATTTGAGCAATCTCCTTTGGGTGTATTTTGTGGTGCCAAAACTTTCGTCTGGTACCTGGTACACTATATCTAGAAAGGTATGTAAAGAGTGAAATAGATTGCGAAATAGTGTTTTTCATTGGCATTACAGTGATTGAATTAGCTTTTTTCTATCTCTTACGGCCTGCCATGCTATTCGGCTTTTTCACTATGGGGCTTTTTGGTTTCTGTTTTGGGGTTAATTGAAACTTTGTTTTAAATAGCCCCTTGAAAGTCTGACAAACTTTGCGAAGTCCTCTATTCATCGTTTCAAATACATTTTTTTTTTATTTTATACTACAGATATGCAAGCATGGTCCGAAGTCCGAACATACCAAAAATTTTTGCAAAAACTAATTACTGACCTACCTATTATTGATATGTAGGTAGTCACTTACATAATAATTAGATAAGTCAGTAATTAGGTATTGTAAAATAACTAGAAAAATTGTGATTAAATAAAATTATAATTCATAAGTAAGTAGTTTTATTTTTAAAATTATTAATTTTCTAAATCTGATAATATTATAATAGATCCTATGTAAATTTATTTATTTGTGCCTGCCCATATAATTTTCTCTTAAGTCTTCTATCTGATAAACCAACCGATGATTTTACTTTTTTTAATCAGCGGGGATAAAATAGAAAAGACTTCTCCTTAAATATAAATATTGCTTGTTTTCTTGTTAAAAACTCATTGGATATTTAACGTTATATTCCAAATAACCCGAAAGTTGCGACAGATTGTCATTACGTCTAAATAATTCATGGTAATTTTTCACCTTTTTAGTCACCGTATGAAGTGAAATTGACATAAACTGAAGACAGCTCCTTTTTCTTTAACCTTTTCAAATATCGCTCATTGGTTTCTTTTCGAAGCGGTCTAAAAAAATAAGAAAACCAAAAGCAATTAAGTCAGATACCAAATAACCTCATCAATGCGAATTTTGGAACGGCACCTTTAAGACCTTGTATCTATAGATCTATTCACAGAAAATGTTTAATAGGCTAGTTGACTCATGTCAAATTGTATTAAATAAATGTTTATTTCTTAAAGTATTTGGTCTAAGTAAACTAAATATATCTATCGATTTCACTTCATAAAATCAGAAGATTGCTGTAGAAATTTAATTTTAAAAAATATTTTTGTAGTCTATATTTTTTAAACACTAACAACGCTGTTCGCCACATCCGCCATGATTGTGACGTCTCTTGTAGTAAACATCTAAATGTCATTCGCGTGTTACTGTGGGTGGATTCTTTCGTGTGACTAAATTTATCTTAAAACACTTTTAACTTTAGAAAAGATTCTGTTTACTGTTTGTTGAGTTATAAAACGACGTCTCATGCTTATAGAAAAACAGTGCTCAATAAATCATCTCAACCCCCTCTCGGGGGATGATCGCTTCAGATGAAGCTTGTAAGGCCCTTCTGGCCATAAGCATAATTAAAGGGTGTTTTTTAGTCAGTAAGAGTCTGACATAACCTTACAGCCGGCTGTAGGGTATCCATGAGGATTTCTCACCCTCTCCCCCGCCTGGGAGAAAACAAAAAAAAAACTCAAAGGACACACGTATTTTCATTGCACTCCGTGCCTGCGGTAAGACATCGACCCTATTGCCATCAGCATAAGCCACACTGTTTTTTTTGACAAAACTAATCATGGATGCCGGCTTTGTGAAAGCAGAAAGCACAAATCTGCCAAAATTGACGCATTGATGGTTGGTGAATTTTTTGCACTAAACCCTGATTTAGGGAGGCATCTATGTAAGTACAGTGAATTTAGTATTACAATGTAGTAATAAACATAAAACTGATACAACATAAGAATAAGTGTAATAAAGTTGCGTAGGTTAATTTCTTTCGGCACTTAATCCACAATTTTCCTGGAGTCTTCAAGGATGTGTTTTTATATTCTCGTACAATACAATAATGATAATTACTTTATTCTTCGTGGTATTTATTAGAAATCATGTTTTTTTTATTATAAACTCAGATTAGTTATTTTCTACGTGCTTACTTGTTTTTGTTTACTACAGTTGACGTCATAGCATAGATAATCTATAGACTAAAATGGCCGACAGCGTTTTTGTATATCCATGAAGTCTTATTTAAAATTTGTAGCTTTCTAGGTCTCAAAAAGATATAATACATTTTTTTTTCGGTCTAATAGAACATTTATTAACCATTTAAAACCTTTTTCCAAAAAGGGTCAACTAGCCTATTATAGCAGTCATTTAGAGAAAATTGTAAGATCTACCCAAAAATAACGATCTATATTGATAATCTATGTGCAGTTTTTTGTAAAACACCTATTTCATAAATAAATGTCCCAATTAGTCCCCACTTCACGGTATCGATTCTGGGGCCCAATTCTCGCGGCGTAGATATTATATCGGCTTCGAGATAATATCGAAAGTAGGGATATCTATTGAAAATATCTACTGATGGTAAAAAATGTTATTCTCGTGGAATTTCGATATTCCAATGATATTATATCTATCGTAGATATTCTTTCACTGCCGAATGCGTTCCGTTTTTCTCGATTAAGTTAACTTCATAGTCTATATAAAATAATAATAAATTAGAGCAGAATTTTACAAGCAACAAAATGATATTTTATGAATTCCATTCATATTAAATATGAGTATACATTTTTTGAGTATAAAAAATCTCAACTTTACCATAATTGTATGCGTATAGAATTTCAACGTTATGTATAATGAAACGTCAATATTATTTAAGATTCTCCCTTTTCAGGGAAGGCAAAGAGAACAATGCCCATAAAGCCTAGTCTTTAGTTATATTAATCTTCTTTTTTTACATTCGAATGTCGGTGTGACGCATTCTAATGTTTCTTGGAGTGTTTGGCACGAAATTTATGGAGTTGGCTTTTTCTCTAAGCTTCTGTAAGGTAGTCAACACTACAATAAAGTTCTCGCGTCCACTTGACCGGAATAGCGTATATTTTAAAGATTCCACTAATTCTTCAGTTGCGCAGACGGTTGTAACAGCAAATCACACCAATTTTATTTCACAATATCCACTATGAACGAATTTTAGAATAATTAAAATAAGATGCCAACCGCACTCGCAGAAATCCCGCCAAAACTCCGTATCGTCAATAAGAAAATGGTGTCTATTCTGGCATGATTCTCTAAACCTAAACGTAAATTTGACAACTATGGTGTCAATTCTGACACGATTCTCTAAACCTAAACTTAAATTTGACAACAGTGTATCCTTGTCATTCTCTATACGGAATGAAAAGGAGAGATTGATGTTAAATTTAGTTTTAAGTTTAGAGAATCACGCCAGAATCGACACCAGTGTATCCTTGTCATTTTCCATACAGAATGAAAAGGAGAGACTGATGTTAAATTTAGTTTTAAGTTTAGAGAATCGTGTCAGAATCGATACCAATGTCATTCATAACTTTAAAGATTTCTAACCAAATTTTTGTTTAAACTTAATTTTTTTATGAAGTCGGCGTCCCTCATTTCAGTCGGCCTCCCTCATTTCAAATGGGCCCTGTTGCTCTCACAACGGCGGCGCCTTAGCACAGCAGCAGCAATCACGTCATTTATTAAATCATTGACGAAAACATGAATCAACTCATCCATCGTTAATATAAACTGGTGTCGATTCTGGCACGATTCTCTAAATCTAAACTTAAACTTGACAACAGTGTTTCCTTGTCATTCCCTATACAGAATGAAAAAGAGAGACTGATGTTAAATTTAGTTTTAAGTTTAGAGAATCACGCCAGAATCGACACCATTGTTTACCTACTTCTTTATTTACTAATTATTTATGAAGGCAGTTAACAACATCTTGAGGTAACAATAATTGGCAAAGATACACGACAACACAATAAATAATAGGTAAAAAAAGTGGAAATAACAAGATTGACATGCCAAGATCCATAGATATTTATATATCGAAGGCTCTTTACCAGTCGATGTATGTCTACTGATCATCCGTAGATAAATATCTATTGCGACATGGTGAGAATAGGGCAAAAAGGTTTTCCTTCGATAAAAGGCAGATCATTCGATATATATCGAAGGTGATATAATATCTATGCCGCGAGAATTGGGCCCCTGGCTTGATTCTCTAAAGCTAGTTAATTTGACAACAGTGTATCCCTGTCATTCACTATACAGAATGAAAAGGACAGACTGATCAAGTTTAAAGAATCCTGCCAGAATCTAAAGTTAAGTTTATATGTTAAAGTTCTACTTATATGTGAAATTTAAACCCATCCTTTTGTAAGTTTAATATTTCAGATGTTTTACAGTAAATTACATAACGTTTTGGCATTTTCGATCTTCGACACTCGCGCGACTTGACCCAGTCTAGTGAAAGAAATATCCGATGCGCAACTAGTTTTGTTCTTGAGCTAGCATAGCAGCGGGGGAAAATCGACAGAGAACGCTGTGAATGCCTACACCCCTCCTGGCCGCGTCGGCCGTGTTGCTCTATGCCTTAGTAGAAGCAAGTAAGACAAGTTCATATTCGTTTTCACTGTCAATGAAACTAATGATATAAAAAGTGCAAAAATTGAGACTGAAAATAAAACAAAGAGTACTTTTTATTTTTTTTATTTTAAAGCACCAAATGGTATCGTACAGAAGACAGCCAGCCGCACGATACCAAGTGACGAACGGACGATACAATTCTAACGGTAGGACTTCTGGTAGCGAGCGCGCGCGCCTGGGCCACCGAACTTCTTGGGCTCACAGCGACGTGGGTCGGCGACCAGCAAACTCCTGTCGTATTGAACGAGGATGTCTTTGATTTCCTTCTTTGACGCTTCGTCTACATCTAAAACAACAAATAAGGGTTTTTGGCGGGATTTCATCGAGTGCGGTTGGCGTCTTATTTTAATTATTCTTAAATTCGTTCATAGTGGATATTGTGAAATAAAATTGGTGTGGTTTTGTGTAACAACTGTCTTCGTAACTGAAGAATTAGTGGAATCATTAAAATATACGCTATTCCGGTCAAGTGGACGTGAGAATTTTATTGTAGTGTTGACTACCGTGAGGTAGTCGAAAGCTAAAGTAGAAAGAAGCTTATCGAAAAAGCCAACTCGATACATTTCGTGCCAAACACTCCAAGAAACATTAGAATGCGTCACACCGACATTCTAATGTATAAACAAAAAGAAGATAAATTTAATTAAAGACTAGGCTGTATGGGCATTGTTCCCTTTGCCTTCCCTAGAACGGGAGAACTTCAACAAAAAAAAAACAACAAATAAGTTGGTATTATACTGGCCTATGTTGCCACCATCTTACTGTGGCCACTATTCCTACACTTCCTTCCTACCGAAATTAGGTGACTTATTTCTTTGTCATACTATTTGTAAGTGGAATTCTTTGCTTGTGCAAGTGTTCCTTCCTTCCTACAATCTGGGGTCCTTATAGAGAGCCATTTTTAGAGGCCGGCAAGGTGAGGAGGGATGGTGTAGAAGTTAATAACTGCTGTACCAGCTATCTTCGCATTTGGAGTTTATCATCACTTAACATCAGGTGCGATAGTCATTAGCTTACCTGGCTATAAAGAAAATAAACTTTTACATATGAAGTCATCGGATTAATATATATATTCATACTTATTACAATTTTATTCTATGGATAGTTACGGATGCTATTTTTTGGTTTGAGACTAACCTAGGCAAAATTGATCATAATACAACCATAAAAATGGATATATAATAAATCCATGTTTTAATACATTCATAGATAAAATTATTTGTTCATTAGACATCCTATTGACTATTTATAATGTAATTGTAGTTTTTTGTCAAGCCAAGCCCTAAAAAGGATATTATGATCATCAATAAATTTAATTAATAAACTTGGTTAACTGATGCAAATTTTATCTCATAGGAACAGTACTAGGTAAAGAAAAAGGGTAAAAGGTCAAGTTGCAACATAAGTCAAGTTTGTAAAACTGACAAAGAAATTACAGTAAAAGACAATACTAATAACATTAGACTAATTGTAGTGTACACTTCAAACAAGCATAGTACTGAAAACATATGCCGTTTGGTAAATGTCACAAATGCTCTCCTTTCCCTGAAATGACTGAATCACATGAAGGTGATACAGCTTTGGAAGGAAAGGGTGTTATTTTTTCATACATATATCAAGGATATCCTCTTTGTTTAGTGTGTTTTAAAAAAAAGGCTTTTTTTTGTAATTTCTACTGAGATTATAATATGAGATACAGGTAGTGGCAAACTCCTTAAGTAAAACCACAGACAAATGTGTAAATGTATGTAAAATAATTGCATCGGATTAGGCTTCCTTATCTCTAGTGCTCAAGAAGTTTTCCAAACAAATGCTTGAACAATAACAAAATTCACAATTTTGCAAACAACTTACATTTCTGGTAGAAAGCAATAAGGGCCTTGGAGATGGCTTGTCTGATCGCATAAACCTGTGCGACATGACCACCACCCTTAACTGTAACTCTGATATCAACACCAGAGAATTTTTCCTAAAACAAAAATATATTGATAGAGTTTTCTATATTTACAACAGTAAATGAACTAAAGCTAAAACAATAAAAACAATTCAGTCCATTGTTTACTTCACATCTAAAGATGGTCAGGTTCGGAATAAGATTTACTCATCATAATGAAATGATATTTTCACTAAGTATACCTTTTTGTATTATTAATAAATCACAAAGTGAGAAAACAACAAAGTGCAATAAGATTATCAATTAGGCATTTCAAAATAACATGCTAAACTAAGTTAGTTGATTAATAGAACAAGGAGGAACATACTATGAATTTGAAATAGACTTGCACATTAAGCAACTCCCAAATTTAAAAAGTACAAAGATCTTAAAAAGTTGTTAGTTGGTAGTATACACTTTATATATACACAAGAAATTCTTGTGTATATACAAGTTGGTACTTGTATATACACAAGAAATTTGAAAACTACTTGCAGTTTGTCAAAATAACAAGCAAGGAACTAAATAATAAGTGACAAGTTCATAAGAGTGAAAATTCATTAATTATAGGTATATATTCTGATATCTGCAAAACTGCTTACCTTTCCAAGGAGAAGGATTGGCTCCTGAAGTTTGTATTGGAGCAAGCGGGGCTCCACCAAGTCTAGTGGGCGGCCATTTACTCGGAGAACTCCGTGGCCGCGTTTGCAGTATGCTACTGCAGTTGCGGTTTTCTAAAACAATTTTATAGAAATTCAAATTACAATTGAATCAAATAATTTTAAGGATCTGAAGTAGATATCTATTTTACGAGGTTATGAAAGTTGATTTGTAGATTTTTTTTGAAATATATAATTAAATAATTGAGAACTGCTAAATATTAGGTACTGTTTAAGGTTACGTTTACCCAAAAGATATTTATTTAGTTCTAAAAGATTTTACCTACTTCTCCATAAAATAGATTTGGACAGTTGTTGTTTCCATTTAGACCGCTACAAACAGAATATATTTGAAACGGCTGGTACAATGAAAAGCTATGATCTTCTTTCCTCTTTGTAATATATTTAACCAGAGAGGTTACAATACACAAGGCAGGAAAGGGTGCTTTTTATCAATAATAACTTCTATTTCAGGTTTCATTTTTTATATTTTAACGTTAAACCAGCACAATTGTAGATTTCACGAAATCCTTAATTTGTTTGCTGTAAAACTGAGACAAACACGTGGACGAACCGACAAAACTCACCTTGCGTCCGAAAACTTGGACAGCTTGGATAGGTTCGCGTCTCGCCTGAAAGCACGAAAACAGTAAAAATTACATTAATATCGGATTAAACTAGGCTGCTGAATAAATTCCACAATTTATTGAAAAAAAGTATGAGAAACACACACCTCTTGCACGGCAGCCATTTTGACAGAAAGACTGAACGAATGAATGAGAAATCTGATATAGGTATGCGTCCGATATATCAAAACGAATCCAAAATCCGATTTCAAACACAAATCGATACCGAACGATTTCTCAACGAGAAAATCCGATTTCAGAAATCTAACCGAACCAAAACGCTAGCGATCTAATACCACCACTAGTATCCAAATGTAAATCGGATTCGAAATTCGTGCTTTCGTTTTCGGAAGTCCGATTTCGTGCTCGGAAGTCCGATTTCGGTTTGCTGTTTACGGAAATCTATTGCTCTTCTCTAAGGCGGGATTATTTATCACTGAAAAGAGATGTCGTCTAAAAGCATCAAAAGTCGAGCAACTGACATTTTTTGAACGCTAACCTGAAGTAATTAGGTTTTATTTTGTAAATGGTTTGAAAAATAATAAAAACAAACAGAAAAACAAAAAAAATACTAATAAAATATGTAAAAAGAAATCATTGTGTATATAAGCCGATTTTTAAATGCGCCGCAAAAGTTTTACTCTTAACCGTAAAGATAACTTTTCTGCTAGTCCTAAGCCACAGAATATATACTCTTGCCTAAGCCTATATTTAAAGCATAAAGGAAAATCGCGCAAATCTACGAGTATGCTTGCTTCGTACAATTAATTGTTTGTGATTGTCGTTAGCTAATAAAACCAAATCATAACACAAACTAGTGAATTGGCTAAGTTCGGCACATCTGAAATCGGATATTTAAAAACGGATTTTAAAATCGATTTTGAAATCTGAAATCCGATAAATATCCGTTTGCGTTCAAAACAAAAAACGCCCATGTCTAATCTGATATAAAAAAGAGTGAATGACCATAAACAAAAGTCTCTTCAAAATATATAGGGTGACTGATCCAAATGCTAGCACTGCACCAAATAATCAGCACTCTGAATAAATAGTAAAATAATAAGGTTTTCACTAACTGATTTGGGTTACCACTTTAAAAAATAAATAAATTGTTGTTTTTGAAATCCTACCACTGGCAATACCATACTTTCTGACTTCAAAATGGCAAAAAAAATGTAAAAATACGTTTGTGTCCGGCAGTTCGTCTTATTTTTGCCTGTTCTTAGAGATCGAAGGTAAGTTCACGTGTTTACATTTAATGCTTTAATAGATCTTTTAAATATTTTATATTAATACTTTTGATTTATGTGATTTCTTAGATAGTTTATCAGGATAGTTTGAAAAGAATAATTTGAGGTTATAATGACATATTGTTAAAAAATGTGTAATTTAAGGGTCTAATATTTTGCGAATTCCAAATTATCAGCACTGGTGCTGATAAATGGAAAATAGTACGTAAATACTTATACCATATTTTTAATTGTAAACCGTGCTTATTTGATGCATAAAATTCATTTTTTTTTCGTAAAAGTAGTTTATGCCTTCGGAATCCAAATCTTAGCATAGTGCTGAAATTACATTTGCTATTTGTCAGCATAGTGCTAATAATTGGATCAAAAGCATGCTGATAATTTGGTTCTCCTAGCATTTCATAATTTTTAATTTTTTCAGACCCACCTACCATGAAACCAAAGGAAGTAAATATGCCAAATAAAAGAAAAAAAAAACTCTTACGAAAATCTATTAAAAGACTTAGATGCATTAGAATAGGGTATGTCCAAAAAACTGGCCTCGAAAACCTTCAATAAACCTAGATAAACTATCCAGTCGCGATTAAGAAAGCCATGCAAGAAGCTACCAGACCCTGATCCACTATTGTCGAACGATGAAGAGGAAGTTTTAGTAAAAGTGGGTTTTAGATTGCTGTCGGAAAGGATTCCCAAACAAAAGACTGATTTACAATTGAGTGTAGCAAGTTTCTTAAAGAAGACAGAAAGAGATTTAGAGACCCCTTAAAGGATGACATATCTGGTAGAAAATGGTATGACCTTTTTATGTGCCGTCATCCAGAACTCAGCGAACGCATTGCCGAAACTGTAATATCAGTCAGTGCTAATGTATCAGAAGAAGACACAAAAAGGTGGTTCCACAATTTTGAGTTTTGTCCTAAGGAAAACAACTACTTTAACATCTACCAGAACCCGTCTCGTGTTTTTAATGGGGACGAATCTAACTTTCAGTTATATCCTAAGAGTGGCAAAATCATTTCATTACGAGGAGAAAGAGACGTATATGAAGTTGATCACGCTGCAGCCAAAACTGTCTTTATTGTACTGTTTACGTTTTGCGCCAACGGAGATATTACACCTCCACTAGTTCTGTTTCCCAACAAGAGGTTTCCCAATGATAAAAAATCATCAGTCCCAAATGAGAGGGGCATTGGTTTAAGCTGTACTGGCTAGATGAAATGTGATTTTTTCTATGATTATATCAAGAATGTATTTCATTCATTTCACATCATACTATTTGTAGATGGACACAAAACACATCTTAGTCTTGAAGTGAATAAATTGTGCAGCAAGTTGGACATTATTTTGATTGCTCTAAAGCCAGCCGACACATGTCAGCTTTTAGACCTCTCAAAAATGCATGGAAGGAAAGTAAAATGGAGGAGAGATTACCCTTTGGAGACTCTCACAAAGAATGATTTTGTACCTGGTCTTATAGAGGCTTTAGAGGTTGGCGTCAAAGATACAACAGTGATAAATAGATTCAGGACTATTGGCTTATGTCCCTGTAACTTTGAAGCCATCAACTACAAAAAATGTCTGGGTAAAGGAAATAAACATGATAAAGAACCAAAACAAGACAAATAAAAATTACAAGAAGATTGTAATGAAGATAGAGTTATGACACGTGAAACTTTAGAAAAGATTGTAGGGCAAGAAAAATGTACCTACATTTCTGCAAAGAACGCCGCTTGAGAGTCTAATAGAAACAGAAAGGATTTTAAAGAAGATTTGTTGTTATTTCGATGATCAAACTGATGCGTCCACAACTTCCACATCCCAGGAAGCTGTTATCAAATTTCTCAAAATTGATCAATTTCCAGTAATATTAGCATAAGATTTTGTAGATGAAATGCAAGCTATGATCTCTGCAACCACTAACGAACCATCTGATGGTTCATTATACTGAATATTGTCTTGGAAGTGCGCAATTTTTATGTCTTGATAGTCAACAATATTTACCAACTCCAGTCAGATTAAACAATATTTACTAACTGCAGTAAAATTACAGGACGTATTGGTTACGGAAAAAAACGCCTGAACGAAAAGGTGTTAAAAATGTAGAGAGATCATCATTTGTTCTTACTTCAGCTGAATGGAAAAAGACTGAAAACAACAAATTAAAAACTAAACAACCTAAAGAAGAAGAACAGGCGACTCATAAGAAAAACAGATTACTGAACAACACGAAAAAATAATGCAAAAGTAGAAACCGCTATTAAAAAACAAGAGAAAAAAAGCTAATAAAATACAGGAGAAAAAAGACAATACAATAAAAGGGACAATAGAAAATAAAATACAAGATACAATAGAAAAAACAAAATAAAAGAGATAAAAGCTAACAAAACACAAGAGACATTATCATAATACATGATAATAATACGAAACTTTGTTAAGTTTATAAATACAATTAGATTGTTGTCAAATATTTTTTTTGATCCTTAGTCACACATTACCCACCTATATTAAAATAAGTCAATTAAAGAGATTATAGGTACTAATAACATTTTTTATTTCATATAATTTCAATACCACTATCATAGTGCTGTTAATTGACTCACTCTATGCTATTAAATGGTGGTGATGGTGCTATTAAATGGTAAGATGGTCATTATTTACTCTTGTCCATCTAAAAAAAATGGATACCTAAATATAAAAAATATTTTTTAAATAATCATCTTACTGATTGAATATTGAAACTAGAAAACTCGTCATAACGGGTGAAACAGCATTTTTCAATGTGATAAACGGGCTTAAGTTTGGACTAACTCTTAAAGTGCTGATAATTGGATCAGTCACCCTAGATAGAAAGTTTTAACTTTATAATAAAAAAATATCCAAACCGTAATTTTATTAATAAATTAAATGTCAATGGGTATATATAATAGCTTATGATGTTTATTGTGTATCTAGTTTACACTAGCGCCATCTATCATAAATTTAACGAGCAGTACCATGATCTGCATATTTCGTTTATCTACTCAACGCTAGATGGCAATGCGATCGTAAAAAAACAGTGACTCATAACGTAAGTAAGCACGTATCCACAACCAATAGTGTTTTGTATTCTTCGAGCGTAATCGGTAAAGTGGAGTCGTGTGGAATGTGCTACAGTAGCGCACGACCGCTAACAATGCTTCGCGAAAAAGCCGACACTCCCGCGCAAGTGCGATAAAGTTTTAAAACAAAACAATGTTATTGAGAAGAGAAATTTGTGCATACGTATTGTTTATGTTATGAACATTGTTTCGTGTTTGAAGTTTTGAACTTGGATTTTTTAAAAGATTGTTTTCGCTGACTGTCTTTTATTTTGAGGGTAAGTGGATAAACTTTTTTACTTTCGTACTTAGATTAAATCTAAAAGGGATAGTGTACAGCATTTTTTTTTCCTTATGAAATGAAAACGAAATTGTTCATTATGGATGTTATTGAAAGTTTTTTATTTATTTATATTCTTAATTACTACACAATTTTTAAACTTTGTATATTCAATTGAAACTAAAGTTTATCAACTTGCTTTATTTACCAACCGGCACATCTATAAAACCTTGCTAAAGGGTTTTTTACGAACATATACTTAACTTCTTGTGCGATTGTTGTTGGTGCGTCATAAAAACAAATGATTCATAGAAGGAATGCGGCCACTTGTAGGGAACTGCCATAAAAACAGGAAAACTAAGTTACAACTTATTAAACTTAAAAATGCCATTAAACCTACTTGCATATAAGTAAAATATGCTTGATCTTATTTTCAATTAGTTTTAATACATAAGATCTTGGGTAGATGGACTACGAGCAATTGAGTAAAGTTTAAATTAGTACCTAAATGCAAAGGTGTTATCACCAATCACTTGAACTTCGACTATAATTTGTCAAGAATATCAAAAGCTTTAATTGAAAATTCAATCAATCTCCTACACTCTCAACCTGGAATTTTCTTTTTCCTTGTAGTATTACAGGGTTTTTTAATTACCACTATTTTTTAAAACTTTTACAAATGGATTTGTTTTTTTTTAAATAATTGTCAACTCTTTACTTTATGCAATTTGCAAATGGTCAATTGAAAGAAACTATGCAATAATAAATTAATATGTTTATAAAAAGAAATGACTGCGCCGCGAGTGACAAAAACACTTTCGGTCTGAAATTTAGGTTTTACTAAATAAGGTGAACTGATTATGGTCTTTTATGTGCTTGACTAAGATTTATAACTTAATGTAATGTGCGTTTTAGATTCTGTAGTTATAATGCGATTCAACTAAGAATAGGAACGACTGGGCGCCATATTGTGATGTCATAGCTGTCAATTCAAACAAAATAGGTAGAGTGAGCAAAAAAAGTTTTTATTTAATATAACTTATTTATTATGATTAAGTCAGAAAAAGCATCAGATTTTTTTAAAAACCATTATTTACTAAGATTCAGAAAAAAACCACCGATTTTGAATAATATTTATTTATTTAGACTGTGAGAAAAAACATAAATCAGAATCTAGCTTTTCTATTCCGCTCATCTCTGCATTACCGCCAGAGTAGTTATGAATAATCATGCACTATTACTAGGTCACATACGAACATGCATCCTTTATGTAAACGAAAGTTTGAAATCGAGTTTCTGAACGCAACTTAAAGTGACATTTGGTTGACGATTTAGGTTATCAACCATTCATGGCCAAAGCACAATAAGTGAAAAAAAAATTATCTACCGATATTAATAATCAATATTTGTTATTGTTTGTTCACAAATGTTTGGTTTTTATTCTAGAATTAGCGGAGTGCTAAAAAAGGGTTCCAAATTTTTTTGCAAACCGTACTTTTCAAGCGATATTTGACAGATAGAGGTCATTGGCTTTCCTATTCTTATTTGAATCGCATTATACTTAACGTGTGGCAGTGTGGCTGACTGAACACTCTACGACTGAAGGTATACTTTAGTGTTCCTATGGTGTCCCTTCAGTGCGTCAGTGAGTGAGGTTTGCTGAAGGTCCACGACGCAGGGGAATAAGATCGGAATGGCAAAATAGACATCCGTAATATCTGTGCCGCAACACTTATCACACTTTACAAAAGATTAAAGGCCGCTTTTTCGGTGTCGTCAATTAAACTTTATCTGATGTAAGCTAGTGAGATGTTCCTTTCTTTTGTGGGACAATAGATAAAGATACATGTCGTTATCACAGAATGAAAGTGATCTTAGTAAAAAAATAGTTTTGGTCTATTTTCCTTCAAAGGGTTGTATTGTAGGTAAGTATATACTTTTTCAGGTCAATATGTATAAAGGTGGGGTAGAGACATTCGGCTTCCTAAATATATATAAAAGAGTAAATGAATTATAAAGTTCTTGGAGTTTCTGAGTTTGGTCACATTCATTCTAAGGACACGTGACCGCGTTAATGACCTTCGATTAATTTGATATCTCTGAGAGCGACTATAATCATATGTCCTTAAGTACCTTATTCTGCATCTTCATCTCCCTATATTGTGTACGACGATAGATCAGTAAGCAGATAATTAAAATTTTCGATCTTATTCTTAGGAAAATCATTGAACATGTGAAATTTTACACAATCGAAACTTATATTTAATCGAATAATTTATATCGTTAATGTTTAATCGAGTAATGTTTATTACGATTACTATAACCACTATTAACTTCGTAAAAAAATCAAAATTAAGTGTTTTAGCACTTTTACTTATAAAATTGACAATAATTGTGTGCCACAATACAATTCTTTATAATTTATAGCTCTCTCCCTCTCACAGTTCACAATAATTATTAAAGCTTTTTAATCACTTGTGTAAATAAGTATAAATAACCCATATATAAGAAAGAACAACAACAATTCAGCAGTCAATAATAAACTTAACTTGTTCACACTATTTGTAAAATTAATCTTAGTAATGAAAATGTAATACCTACTGGATAGAAATTAATAATAATAATAATCTATTTATTTCTCTCAAGAAGGGTTACAAAGTCTTATATGATAAAGTACAAGGCATTAACATTATATACATCGATCCTTAATAAGCCTAAGTTGCTAATATCTGAAAATCTATCTTTGCATTACCAGAGTACACGTAGGTACTTACAAAGGTACATAACACACCAATCTACTTAAAAAACTTTCTAAATAATTATCAACATAAATCACTTTCGCGTTTGCCCTATAATAATTTATTTCCCGCCCTTTCTGTCTATGGTAGCGTTTACTTTTTTAATCGTCACAGCGTTGGCCGGCGCCTAGTTTGTCGGCTAAACCGTTTACTGGCCGACATGTTACCACTTCCTGTCTATTTCACAGTTAATACTTGCAACTATATTAGTGCCACTTTGATCCGTTTAGGATTAACCGGGTAACACAACATTATATTGTGGAGCAACATAAGTACAGCACTTACAATCTGTCTAGGGAATATCCTTCTTTTTTGTTTATGTTTGGGGTGGTTGACTTAACTGGGTTAAATAACTTTTATGACCTTCCTGATGCACCCGCCATAACTCAGACGCTAGCGATGCTAAATTGTCACTTATCACTCGAACTGAATCCCCTACACTTGAAACCTTACTTACGAGTACCAACAGAAAAACACCCCTAAAAATGTAATGTTCACAGATTATGCTATTTCGTTGTGTTCTTCTGTAAGGTGGAGGTTACTTCTCAGGACGGGCTTTAATCGGGGTTAATCCTAACTAAGTAATGAAAAAATATAGGGGAACAACGATTTTAAATGAAGAAATATAAAACTTCCATTTTCTGAAAATGTACGATGGTCGGCATGCAAGCAAACAGCGTTTCTGTGGCTTCAGATAATGACATTAGTTAGGTGCATGCATGCCAGTACATACAATGCATTGGAAGCTTTACAAACGACGAAACAACGCAGATTTCCGTACAAGCTCATTAAAGACACGTTGCAATATTGCATTTTTTTTATATCATATGCTAATACACGAAGTCAAAGATCATAAAAATAAACAATTAAAAATCTGTACCATAGTAAGAATAAAAATATTTTCCACGCGTATCTAGGGAAGCTTTTAGAAGACAACAGTAAAATAACACTATTACCTTTTTTGGTGATGTTGTGTTTCTGTTGGTTGGTAAGGTTCCTCCACGGGTTGGGGGTAGGGTTGCCAACCGTACTCTAAAATAGAGTATTGTACTCTATATATTATGTAGGCGTACTCTGTAACCTATAACAATAATAGAGGACGCTAAAATACTCTTTTTTACAATGATAACTATACTATTGCCAGTCTTTCAAAAACAATGAAAAATTTTTATGTGCTGCAAAATACCAAAACGTACCTACCTTTAGAAATTTTTGAATGAATGATACTCTTTTTTATAAGGTCGTACCTACTCTTCATTTACCTCTTTTGGAATCAGATAATCTTTTTTTTAAAGAAAGTTGGCAACCCTAGTTTGGGGGTAGGGTCAAGGTATGCAACAGTGCGAGTGATACATAGTTTTGATATCGCAAGCATCTGTAGGCTATGATGGCCGCTTAACATCAGGCGGGCTATACGCCTGATAGCCACCCTTTTAACGAAAAAATACAATTAGGTATTTTCGTTTACTCTACAATGTTAGTAACAAATAGCTAATCGCTTTCCAACATATCGGATATAGCCTAGTTTTCACATGATAAGTTGGTAAAGAAATGTTTGCATTGAAACTATTGATTAGCGTTTATCATCACTTTGGAATATTGATACCAATAAACTAAGTGGTGAATGATAAAACTAACAAACCAAACACATGCACCTATTACTCAACGATTTCAGCTTTTTATTTCCTTTTAATATTGCCTCATTCAAAAACTTAAAAATATATTATTATTGCAGGAATTTTTTATTAACATTTTCGACTTGGGTACAAACAATGTTTGTCTCATATCTCTCGAGTTCATAACCTATTTTATCAGAAAATGCACATTTCGGCATCACGAGCTGTTAAAATATTACTTGTATATTTAATTATAGGTAAACCACAGCGATTCCTTTTTCTAGCATGGAGGTTAGAAAGTACCTTTCGAACAGATGTCTAATAATGGTGGATTATTAACCACTAAGTGGTTAATAATCCACCATTATTAGACACTAACATTCATAACGCGCCCGCGGCCAACTTCATGGTGTTACTATTGTGTTACAGTGATGCGCGCGCATCTCGAAATTTCACTCACATGATTTTTTCATAACGCGCCCGCGGCCAACTTCATGCTGTTACTTTTGGGTTACAGTGATGCGCGCGCATCTAAAAATTTCACTCTCATCATTTTTTCATAACGCGCCTAAAGAAGTATAACT